ATGGTGTCCTCCTTGTTGTCTCACCTGCAGGTAGTCGCCGCCGTGACTGATTGTTGTCGTCGTCGTCATGTGCAGGTCGGTGCGCGGAGCCCAGCTATGGCGTGAGGTAAGTCCGCCGCTGCAAGTATGGCTTCCGCCCCTCTGCCTACCTACGCCTATACTTTCACCTCCTATCACAGTGCCGTAGTGTGCAGTGCTGGTCCAGCAGTGTGTCGCCCAAGAAGTGAGCTACTCAAACTGTGTGTCTACTCAGTTGAGGCCCAACTTTATGTAGCCCTGGGCTTGTTGGGTGTGCCTCTGCGTTGGCCTGAAAACGGCCCGCACGGTCGGGGCCCCTACCAGGCGTCCAGACCGTGTTGTTGATGCAACAGGGTGCCAAAACGCACCTGGCCTGTATCGGCCCTGCCTCCCGGTGTACCCAGCCCAAGGCATCACATTGGGGACTTCGAGTCCGAAGCGATGTCAGAACAGACAAAAATAGGGCAGCAATAAATAAGTAAATAAATAAATATTTGTTACAAACTAGTACCTGCAGCCTAAGGGCCGCCGTGGGCCTCTAGGGCGTGTCTGATGGGCCCCTCAGCAACCGTCGGGGCCCTGAAATGGGGCCCGTGTGCAGGCGGAGCATGTAACACCCCCCCCTCCTTATGAAGTCAAGCTGGGTCGAGGATGAAGCTGACGATTTGACGGTGGAACCTGGACGCGAGTACAACATGGAGCCGAAGGTACCGGCTTGCCTTGCAACTTGCTTTCGTAGCATGTGAGAACGTCGGCCGTTGTTGCCTGAAGTTGCACACGGGTCAACCAGCGGTCAGCTTTATGGCTGCAGTAGGAAAAGTGTATTAAGTACTTTGTCGGCCTGTTGCCGTAGCGTCGCTGGGAGATGATGTCGACCCCTTGAAAACAGTTCATAGAGGGTGGGTCTTGCGATCGTCGCCCGGAAAAGTCGTCGTGTTCCACTGAAGTGAACAGAGCTAACTTGGAGCAATGAAAAATCGGGTGGACGGGCAAGTGGGCGGGCACCTGGATGACAAATGAAGGTCCATCGGGTGCATCCCCAGTGGGTGCCACGATCGACCAGGGCCCCGTCCATTTCGGGAGGAGCTTGTGAGAGAGATTTTGTTCGAGGCTGAACTCCGTGGCGAAGACCCATACGAGGTCGCCGGCGCGGAATGGACAAGGAAGACGATGACAGTTGGCCTGTTGGCTCATGCATTGCTGCGTCTTTGACATCTGGTCACATGGCTTGACAAGTAGCTCTTGCATCCGACGAAAGAAGAGAAGATGGTCGTCGCTCTTGGCTGCCCGTGGGATAATTGTGTCCAGGGGAGAAGTGACTGGCGAGCCATGCTCGAACTCAAAGGGCGACATCCCAAGTTCCGGATGAATGGACGAGTCTTATGCCAACTCAACATCCGTCAGCCCCTCAACCCAATCCTTTTGGTCGGGACTGATGAGAGTGCGAAGGAGAACCTGTGCAGTTTGAAGAACCCTCTCCGTTTGGCCATCGGTTTGGGGGTGGCGAACCGAACTCGCCTTGAGAGATGAGCCCCATCGATTGATGAGCGCCAACCAAAAATCGGGAATGAACCGAGTGCGAGGCTAAAGGCCTCGGTAAGCCCTACTGGGCCCTGTTTCAGCAAGAACGACCGCCCTAAGTGAAGGCGGGCCTGACAAGTGACGAGAGGCCTATTTGTGTTTCGATGCAGCGGGGGAAATTAAGGCAGTTGCGCAGCGTCAGTTCGTTGAGTGAGCCCAGGCCCTGCCTGCCTTTTTCCACATGTATCTGAGGCAGGCCCTGGGCTAGACATGGGGCATTAACTGAACACAGGCCGTTGACAGTTGGACACAAGTAACCACCCCAGGCCCTATGGAAGATTCCCTGGGACAGGGGCTCATCAATTGGGGCTTACCGAAAGCTTCTGTGGGGAGGCCCAAGCGAGCCAGGCAGCCCACGACTGGCAGCCAATTTCCATAAAGGAAAGGGCCTGGCTGCTGGCCAGACATTCAGGCACTCACTGCTTATGTGCAGGCGTTGCTGCGCCAGCTGCTGAAGCGAGTGCCTACACGCTCACGGGCGAGCAGGGAAGAAGCAGGCAGCCATAGCCGAGCTGGCCTGCGCGTTGCTGGATGGGGCGCATGGGGGTTTCGGGTGCATGTGGCATCTGTGTGGAGGATCAAGGTTGTGAGTGAAGCGAGGGACATACCTAGTGCTTGATGCGAATGGCATTGGACGAGATCTGCTCGTTTTTCGGGAAGCTGTTGACGTCACCAGCGACATTGTAGATAGGCTAGATAGGATCTGCCATTTGTAGTCTGGGCGCAGAGCGCCAGATAGGGTATCGACATTGGTTCATTGATGATGATGACGAGACCATTCCAACATTGTCATTTGTGAGCTTTGCTGGACTCTTATTTGGTGTAAGTCAAGTTGCAATTCTACTTTTGGCTCGAGGTCAAGACTATCTGGTTTCATGCGTATGATGCGGCTTGGTTTCTGAATTTCGCTATTGCTCATTTTCCTTGCATTTTGGTATCAGAGTTGTGGTACGTTGTGCTCATCTGGCGCTTGTCTTCTACCCATGCGGTGCATGCACGCAAGTAGTTGGGTGAGCGACCGTGGGTAGCATGTAGTGAGGAGGGCGAAGGCAAGCAGGAGGCCCAAGCGGAGAGGGGTGTCAGCAAGAAGGCTCTTAGGTGATATTAGGTGTTTCGCAGTGTGATGAGAACTATCTGATGTGCGATTGATGTTGAGGTGGAACAACGTTATAATGCTGGTTGTGCCAAGGCAATGATTGGTCATCACAATCGACGTCAGGTCATCTGGTGAGATATATGTGGTTGGGGCCAGCTATTTTGAGCTACGTTGCTCTTAACCTTATCTACCCTTTTCGACACTTCTTACCGTGAGGATGTGTGTTATGTCTTGAGAGTCCTCTCGTGTGAGGAGTCGAGTGGGCTCAACCTTGAAGAGTTGGAATTGTTCACATGGAGCATCTGGAAGGAGAGGGCGTTGCCATCTGAAGGGCCCTGGACGAAGCACTGGGTCATGGTCACCATGCCGACCCACCGGGAGTAGAACACACATGCTTTGCTGCTTTGTCCTTTGTCTGCCTGCTGCGCTATAGATAGGTCATGAGGGGCAGGCCAGCCGTACAGGGGAGATGAGAACCAGACATCTTTAAATAAGTACCGGCGGGTTACCTTCCGTTGGCTGTGATCGTCGTCCGGTTTGCGACGTTAAATAATTCCTAAGGAGCTCAAGGGCCATCCTTAAACTGCCTCTTGATCAGCCAATTGGTCGGTGTAAGGCTCGCTGCACGCGAGGGTAAATATGGTGCAGGGCTGGCCAGCTCAGCATTGACTTGGGGCACAGGGGTGGGCCGTGCACACCTTTAGACATCAGCGCCATCCGGATTACTCAGGAATGCTGACATCAAGTGACATCAAGAAGAACCGAGGGAGGGGTAGATTTCAGGTGATAAGTTCGGGAACAATTCCACTCTGCAAACAGCCATACAAATTATTCTATTTTTATTTTGATTAGTTAGATGTACCGCCATTAACACATCTGACAGACATCATCGGTAGAATATTTGCTCTCTGTTTGTTGACTAGTAAAGTAAAATAGTCTTATTTATAGGAATCTGGACTTACCTGTTGAACCCAACTGTGTACCATCTAACAATGCCACCGATTACTTATTTTCATTATTTTAAATCAGTCTGAGCACTACGATGCGTTAGGTGACCGAGTGTGTCCTAGTGTAGACAATGTACATTGCCGTAGTATATGAGCGACAAGGAGAACCCTGTTCCAGACGATCGGATCTTGCGTTCATCAAGCCGTAGACTCCCGTTGGTCCACGCAGCATTAGGAGCCAACGGAGCCCGTTTTCTGTTCTGCTAGGCTAGGAAGAGGCAGAGGCAGCAGAGGTTGGCGAGGGACGTAGAGGCAAGCAGAGCTTTTGCAAGGGAGGCAGCTACCTCAGCAGCCACCATGGCCACCTCTGCGCAACAGACTCTGCGCAGCAGAGTTCCTAGGCCAGTAGTTCAGGGACTGTCGACGTGACGGTCGCACAGACCCAGAGTCAGTCTGCTGGTGTAATGGCAAGCCAGCAGCCAGTGTTAACTCCCAAGCAGGTCGCCATCCAGCGTGCAAGCGGTCACGAGGCACAACTACAGCAGGCATTGGATGAGATACAGGCAGAAAAAGAAAGAATGATTAGACATAGATCTAGAATGCAGCGGAGACAAGCGGACATCAGGGAGTTAGAGGAGATGGACCTGACAAACATGGATGACGATGCAAGGACCGTTAGGACGACCCTGCTTGATGTAGTGGAGCTGTAGGATTACCATACGGCGCTCTTACAAAACATTCAGAGGAGCCTGGCCATGCTGGTTGGGCGAGTTCAGGTCACACCATCACCACCTGGGCCAGGTGCCTGGCCCGTGGTACAACCTCCTCCTTTTGTCCCATCGGTAACTGGAGTAGTCCCATCCACACTTTCTCTGATGTCGGTACAGGCCGCTTCCCATCTGGTTATGCCTTTGACAAGCGGGTTCTTAGTAGGTCCTAGTATATAGATTCCTGTTCAGACAGTGTTCTCCCAACCTTCGTTGCAGACTGCCGTGACAGGGCAGCCTGTCGTCTCGCAACCAGCACAGCTGCAGGGCACACAGCCCTAACAGCAGCTAGTGCAGCAGCCTGCACCCCAGGCCCCACAACCTGGAGTTGCGCAGGTCCCGAGACAAGGACAATGGGTTTCGAAGGCTGCCATCGCATCACCGAAACCCTTCTCAGGAGATAAGAAGGGTGAGGACCTTGACACATGGTTGAGGACGGTGCCAATCTACGTGGAGTGCAAGTTAACCTTGCCTCATGAGGAAGTGCTTGTGGTTGCCTCCTATTTTGAAGGGAGTGCAACAAGGTGGTTAAGCGGGTACGTGCACTTACAGGGGTATGGTCATGACTTCCGTGCTTGGGCAGTCGCCCAGAGACTGGATGATTTCATCAAGCTGGTGGAGGAAAGGTGGCATGACCCGCAGGAGGCTCAAAAGGCCACCGACGGGATATTGACCCTGGAAGTTCAGGTCAGTAAGGTGGCGTACGCTACGATCCCCAGGTCTTACTCACCACTTACCTGAGGTGCCTCCCTACGGAGATCAGGAATCAGTTGGCAAGTGAGGCCATGATCACAGTGCACAACTTCCCCTCGTTTAGCAAGAAGGCCCTAGATCTAGAAGCAAAGATCGGGCATGGACACCAACCCACAACGGATGGTAGGAAAACGACATTGCCTCCTAACTGGAAGGCCAAGGGGCACATCATGTTCGTCCAGAACGATGGTACTACCATAGAGTTAGACAACGACTTCCAGGCGGGAGTAGGGTCTGAGTCGGGTAGCGCAAAAGCTTCAGGGGGTGGAGCAGTCGCTGCCTCAATACAGAAAGTTAAGGCGACCGGTAAACGCCACGGAAGTTCCCGGTCAAAGAGTCAAGTAGACCCCAATGCTCCTCCATGGGAGAAAGTTGGGCTTACTGAGGACGTATGGAGAGATCGGTACGCTTGAGCAACTTGTATTCACTATGGCCAGTATGGCCATACGCAGTTCAAGTCCCGCAACCAGAAGGTCACGGGAAAGATCCCGCCTACGATGGGACAGGCGCAGAACTCCATCGCTTCCCAGGGTAGCAATGTTGCCAACACTTTTGGCATTGCTTCGGGAAACACGTCGGGCCAGTAGGAATTGTAGTTGTTCCTACTAGGGTTGAGATGGTGGTTACACCCTCGCCGTCGCAAGAGATGGCCTAAGCTATTGACTCTGGCGTCGTCCCACGAACACATTCAGACCAATCAGTTTTATGTTCGATGAATGTGTTCGAGTCCTTAGAGGAGCTAGAGGAGGGGTGGTCTAGATCAAACCCACTAGCTTCTTGGACGACCATGGCAAAAGCTCCTAAGGGTGAGTTGTTCATCGGCGAGGTAGTTATAGGCGGCCGTAAGGCTGGGGCCTTCTACGATACATGCTCGATGAGGAACTTTACCAGTCGCGCTTGTGTTGATCGGCTGCACTTACAGGGGCAAGTGCAGTGCCGTAGTCGACCCATGGAGTCGACTTGTGCCAACAAACAACACATGGTAGTTAATGACTACCTAAAAGATGTAGAGTGTTGTTTCCCATACGCGGGAGGGGAACTGAGACATAAAATCTCGTTCTTAGTCAGCGATGATCTCCCTATGGATATCTTGCTTGGTATGTACTACCTTTCGGTTGCACATCCCCAGTGTGACTGGGACCGAAAAGTGGTCAAACACGCATTGCCCGGTGGAGGGACCGCCAGATTGCGTAAGCATAAAGCTAGTAGTCTTAGCGAGTCCTATGGGTGCATATGTGCATCCGCATTCTATAATTATTATAAGCAAAATCTAGAGGAGGGTATGTACTTAGTGTATGTCTCTGCAGAGGGTGAGCCGGTGAAATGCCTCCAGAGATAGAGGGAGTGGTCGCTAAATACCCGAATCTATTTGAAGAGCCGAAAAGGGTTGTTGAGAGGGAGGTCGTCCATGCGATAGAGATTATCCCAAGGTCTAGTATTCGAAGGGTAGGATCTATCGGATGTTTCAGCGGAGCTTGATGAGCTTCGCCGAGTGTCTCCCCTTATGGATCTCCTCTCTTATTTGTACCAAAGAAGGGGGGAACGTTGAGGATGTGCATTGACTATAGGGGCCTCAATGCCATCACTGTGAAGAATGTAGAGCCCCTATTGTGCATCGATGACTTATTGGACCGAGTGGAAGGGTGTCGACACTTCAGTAAGATAGATCTAAAGTCTGGGTACCATCAAATTGCAATCCGGCCCGAGGATCAACACAAAACCGCTTTTCAGACCAGCTACAGTCTGTAAGAGTTTGTGGTGATGCATTTCGGCCTTTGCAATGCTCCTGGCACCTTTCAGCATGCGATGAACCAGATTTTTCACTTGGATAAGTTTGTCATCGTGTACCTTGACGATGTACTTATCTTTAGTAGGACTATCGAGGAACATGTAGCCCATCTAGATAAAGTACAGAGTCTCCTACGGCATCACCAGTTCAAGATTAACCGGGAGAAGTACGAGGTTGGCCGCACTCGGATCTTGTACCAGGGTCATGAGATTTCGGCGGAGGGATTGAAGCCCAATGACGCGAAGGTGGCCAGCATTTGTGACTGGCTGCGTCCTCTACTGAGGTGAGGTCCTTCTTGGGGATGACCGGGTACTACCGCAATTTCGTGAAGAACTATAGCATAGTGGTCGCACCCTTGTCGGATCTCACACGCCTTGACACCCCGTGGGAGTGGACAGACAGGTGTGAGGCTGCCTTCAGACATCTGAAGCATTCTTTGACACACCACGAGGTCTTGAAACTTCTTGACCCTGACGAACCTTTCGTTGTGACCGCAGATGCCAGCCAATATGGCATTGGTGTCATACTTGAACAGCATGACGGGAAAAAGTTGAGGCCGGTAGAGTACATGTCCAAAAAGACACCCTCTCAGAAGTTGGCTAAGTCCAGCCGCGAGAAGGAACTCTATGTGATCTACAAAGTGCTGACTCACTGTAGGCACTACCTCCTTGGGTGATTCTTCTATGTCAGAACTGATCATCAAACCCTGAGGTGGACGAGGACCCAACCGGTACTCTCCGGTACTTTGAAACGCTGGATTTAAGTCATAGAACAATATGCTTTCGAAACTCAGTAATCAAAGGGGAGTACAACAAGGTTGCTGATGCGTTGTCGCGCAGACTAGACTTCCTTGGGGTGCTGATTACTGAGTTTGGGCTTGCGGATGTTACTCAGTCCTTGGTGGAAACCTTCGTGAGGAGCCATTCATGGTAGAGATCATACACAGACTCGAGGCGAAGGACAAGGTGACTTCTGACGAGTTTGTGTTGGTCAATGGCCTGTTGTTCCTCGAGAAGGCGGGGAATAAACGTTTGTGTGTGCCAAATAGAGAGTCTCTGTGTAGTTTATTTTTAGGGCTGTGTCACGATGCCACCGGACATTTTGGCTACAAGAAGACTGCAGCCAACTTGTTGCAGCAGTTCTGGTGGCCGACCATGACGAAAGACGCAAAGTTGTACGTGGAAACTTGTCAAGTGTGCTAGAGAGACAAGCCACATACACATGCCCCTCTTGGGCTTCTCAAGCCCCTTCCGATTCCGGAAAGGCTCGGCGAGAGCCTGTCCATGAACTCCATGGATACGCTGGTCGCCAGCAAGAGTGGTATGAGATATATCTTCGTCATTGTGGATAGGTTTAGTAAGTAAGCTAGGTTAGTTGCGATGCCCGAAACAGCTAAGACCGAATACTCTATTAGACTGTTTAAGGAGAACTGGGTCAGAGACTTTGGTCTGCCAAAGTCTATTGTTAGTGACCAGGATGTGCTCTTCACGAGTGAGTGATGGAAGGCCGCAGCTGCTGAACAAGGCACCCACTGCAAATGACCTCCGGGAACCACCCGGAGGCAAACGGACAAGCAGAGCAGATGAACCGCGCTGTACAAAACCTGCTGAGGCACTATATCAAGCCTAATCAGGTGGACTAGGATGAGAAGCTTGCTCTCATCGCCAGCCTGTACAACAACGTTGTGCACAGCGCTACAGGGGTGAGTCCCAACAATCTGCTGCTAACTTTCAAACCTCAACTGCCTCTAGACTTCTTATTACCTGAGAGCCAGTCCATTGCTACGCCTGGTACTTTGGAATTTACTTACCGGTATGAAGGCCTTATGCAGCAACCAGTGGATAACATGCACAAAGCACAGGCGGCTATGATAGAGTCCAAGAACAAACACCACCGCCCGTTTGCATTTCAGGTTTGGGATAGAGTCTGGGTGAAGTCGTCTGAACTTGGGCAAGAGCACAAAATCTCTCGTAAGCTCATGCCCCAATATTTCGGACCATGGGAGGTTTTAGACGTGCTCGAAGATGATCCTGATGGGCCTTCCTATGTCATGCAAATCCCTGGTCACCTTCCCACCTACCCTGTCTTTCACGCCTCAAAACTCGCACCTTTCAAGGAAACTGACCGGTTTCCCTCTCATCGATCAATGCTGCCCCCAACAATGGATGGAGAGGTCGACATCGACGACATCGTTGACCACAGGGAAATGTCGGTTCCAAGACCAACAGGCAGGGGTCGTCCTCGAGGGTCGAAGCTGCAGTATCGCGTTCTGTTCAGACGTCTCACTGATCCAAAAGAGGACAGATGGTTTACAAGGGAGGAACTGATGTAGACCTCTCCACAGGTTGTCACTCACTATGAGAAGTTGCTGCATAAAGGAAAGCACCAGATTCAATGAACTTCTCAAAGGACTATTGAAGTACGGAGGAGGGAATGCGAGGCTAAAGGCCTCGGTTAGCCCTACTGGGTGTTGTTTCAGCAAGAAAGGCCCCCCTAAGTGAAGGTGGGCCTGACAAGTGACGAGAGGCCTATTTGTGTTTCGATGCAGCTGGGGAAATTCAGGCAGTTGCGCAGCGTCAGTTGGTTGAGTGAGCCCACGCCCTGCCTGCCTTTTTCCAAAAGTATCTTAGGCAGGCCCTGGGCCAGACACGGGGCATGAACTGAACACAGGTCACTGGCAATTGGACACGGGTAACCACCCCAGGCCTTGTGGAAGATTCCGTGGGACAGGGGCTCAGCCACTTGAGGCCTACCAGAAGCTTCTGTGGGGAGGCCCAGGCCAGCCAAGCAGCCCACGATTGGCAGCCACTTTCGATAAAGGAAAGGGCCTAGCCGCTGGCCAGACATTCGGGCACTCGCTGCTTATGCGCAAGTGCTGCTGTGCCAGCTGCTGAAGCGAGTGCCTACACGCTCACGGGCGACCAGGGAAGAAGCAGGCATCCATAGCTGAGCTGGCCTGTGCGTTGCTGGATGGGGCACATGGTGGTCTTCGGGTGCATGTGGCATCTGTGTGGAGGATCGAGGTTGTGAGTGAAGCGAGGGAAATACCGGGTGATTGATGCGAACGACATTGGCCGAGATCTGCTTGTATTTCAGGAAGCTTTTGACGTCGCCAGCGACATTGTAGATAAGCTAGATAGGATCTGCCATTTGAAATCTGGGCGCTGAGCGCCAGATAGGGTATCGACATTGGTTCATTGATAATGATGACGAGACTATTCCAACATTGTCATTTGTTATTTGGTGTAAGTCAAGTTCCAATTCTGTTTTTGGTTCGAGGTCAAGACTATCTAGTTTCATGTGTATGATGCGGCTTGGTTTCTGAATTTCGCTATCGCTCACTGTCCTTGCACGAGTGTCGTGGTCGCAAACGATCTCCTTGGGGTAACCCTTGGTTCGAATCCAACCGGCGTAAACCTTGACCAACTCCGGTGCCTTGGCGTGATAGCGGCAAGGCAAAAACATGGCGAGCTTGGTGAGTCGATCGACCACGGTGAGAATACCATCCACACCGGTCTTGTGCTTGGGGAACAGGCCGGTGATATCCATGGCAATCGCTTCCCTTCGGCGCAAGGGGACCGGTAATGGTCGCAACTCGCCATACGGACAATGATTGTGGGATGTGCAACGTTGGTCAACCTCGCATGACTCGCAATACGTATGATGTTGCGGAGAAGGCCAGGCCACCAAAAGCGCTTGGGAAGTCAGCCAGTCGTATGATTGACTCCAAAATGTCCGGTGGCAGGATCACCGTAGAACTCGCCAAGAAGTCGCGTATGCAAGTGAGAATCACATGTCACGCAAACAAAATCCTTCCCCCGTGAGTGGACGAGCATATATCCCTCTTGGATATGATAGTGTGATGGTGCTGGATTTGGAGAGGAACAATTTGTGTACTTGTCGCGAAACTCAGGGTCGGCTTAGTAGTTGCGGATGAAGCTGTCCCGCAAGTCGTCATTGATCTCGAAAGTTGAGTAGACTGTGGTACAATGATCTTGACATCATGAAAGAGCATCCGCAAAACAGTTTGACTTTCCCGGAATGTGATCGGGGAAAAAGTCAAACTGGTCGATGAAAGTCATCCAACGGGTGATGTTGCTATTGACCGTGTCTTGGGTCTTGTAGAAGGCCAATGGATTGTTATCCGTTACCCATCGGAATTGACTTCGACTAAGAAGAAAATGTCGCCACTGCTTAAGCGCGTGTACGAAGGCTAGTAACTCCCCCTTCCGTGCGTCGTCGATTGAGTGCACAATGGACACTTTCTTGCTGAGATACTCGATTGGGTGCCAATCAACGCCATCGTGTTGTTCGAGGGCGGCATCAATACCATAGCTGAACACATCGGTAGTGAGGCGTATCGGCAAAAGCGGGTTGTAGATGCACAAGACCTCCGTGGATAGCAAAGCGGCTTTGAGGGCCAAAAATGAACCCCGCGCATCATCACCGAAGTCGAACAATCGATCCTCGCATTGAAGCTTGGTCACGTTGGCCACGATCTTCGAATAAACTTTGATAAAGCGTTGATAGTAGCCTGCAAGGCCAAGAAAGGAACGACATTCGTAACGTTTTGCGACTCTGGCCACTCTTGGACGACTTGAATCTTGTTTGATAACGGACTGATGCCCTCCAGTGTGACGAAATGGCCCAAGTAATCCAACTCTTCCCCGACAAATTCGCACTTGTCACGGTTGGCTTTGTACTTGGCGCGGCGGAGTGTCTCCAACACGCGTCGAAGGTGCTCAAGATCGTCCTCCAAGGTCCGGCTATAGATGATGATGTCATCTAAGTAGACCAGCAAAAACCGGTCCAGCATCGCTCATAACTCGTTGGTCATCTCCACTTGAAAGGTCGCCGTGGCATTGGTGAGGCCAAAAGGCATGACCACCCACTCAAATGCCTGTACTGCGTCTTAAATGTAGATTTGTAGCGATCGTACGGGCGCATCGAAATCTGATGATAGCCAGACTTCAAATCCAACTTTAAGAAGAACTTCGCGCCGCCCAAACACTCAAGAAGATCGTCGATACGAGGAAGCACGTTTTTGACGGTTTGCACGTTGAGCTTGCAAGAGTCGATGCACAATCGTGGATCCTTGTTCTTCTTCCGTACGAAAAGAAATAGCGCACCATTTGGTGAGCTAGTAGGGCGGATCCATCCCTTCTCCAACAAATCATCGAGTTGCGTGAGGAGAACCGCGAGCTCTTCCTCGCTCATGCAATAGATGCAACCTTTCGGCGGCACGACACCAGCCTCAAGAATGATCTCGTGGGAGATCGGTCG